TTTTCCCCCGTTCGCTTTTTTTTTGTGTCTTTTTTTTTTTTTTTTTTTTTTTCATGAAATGAAGAACGTTCCCAACGTTTTGGCATCTACCGCAACAGAAAAAAATGTGAGGTCTTAAAAACTAAAATTAGAACCTTGGATGTCATAATTCCACGTGTTGTTAATCACATTTTAATCTGTTCCCAACAGCTATTTGAATGTGGTTGTATGAGATGTCAGTGTCGTCATCACGTACAGGGACGGCCCGTACGGGCTTCCGTACGACCGTACTTACGAGCCCTCAGTGCCGGTACGGCCTGTAGGTACGGACATCCGGCCTTCCGTACGTGGCCTTCCGGGAGGGTGTTGAGGGGGTGGATGGGTTGGGGGGGGGTCTGGTGTCGGGGGGTAACCCCCAATTCAAGAAACAAAAGATTTTTTTTTTGAGTCCGGAATTCCGGGTGGAAAAAAAAAAGGAAAAACGAAAAGATTGATTGATGGATTGGTTCAATTTGATTCATTGATTGATTGATTGATTGATTGATTGATTGATTGATTGATTGATTAATTGATTGATTGATTGATTGGTTCATTGATTGATCATAACATACAAAAAAAAGGGGAAAAAAAAAAAAAAAATTCATGCAAAAGATGATAGATTGAGTAATTGATCAATCGATTGATTGATTGATTGCATGGTTGGTTGCCTGGGGGTCACATCCCTCTCACGTGCAACGACACCTACACACTTACACACACACACACACACACACACACACACACACACACACACACACACACACACACACACTCGCGCGAGCGGGGCAACTTGAAATGCCCATTTTTTTGTCTGTTGATTGATTGATTGATTGATTTGTTGTGGGGGTATCGCCTTCCCCCCGCGAATACATACACACACACACTCAGGAAAACAAGTGTGGCAATGTGTATATTTCCATGATCTAGCATTAGATTCATTTGATTTTGCTCATCCATTCGATGGAAGCACCACGAGGCCAACCACGAGGTTGGAGACTTACCGTCTCTCT